GGCAAAGACTCTTTTTAGAGTCAGTCTCTCGAACACCTGTCCACCAGAAGTTTCTTATAACAGCCGTGAGTTTAGCAATGAATTTCTTAGAAAACAAGATATTTGCCATGTAATAAATGGGAATAGCCGAGAAAACTGAGCGAATTAGTTCAAGTCTAGCAGCATGAGAGAGCATGTTTGCTTTGTAAGAAGGCAGCTTATTTAAAAATTTATCAAGGACAAAATTGTAAGCAGCCAGTCTATTATTAGCAGGGAGAATGAGAGGATGACCAAGATGAGTGAAATTAGTATCAAGATTAGGAACAGGGAAAATATGCTTAATGTCTTGAATAGTAGCCTGAGAAACATGCGAGCTAAACAAGATTGCAGATTTGCTCCAGTTGGGAGTTTGGCCAGAGAGATCACAAAATTGCCGAATAAGATTCGCCATAGTTTGAGCTTCATGATGGGTGGCCTGACCACAAACCAAAAGGTCATCTGCAAATAGAAGTGAATGAACCAAAGGGGAACTTGGACCAAGAGAAATACCCTGGAAATGGTTAGCCTGAAGCGCCTCATTAAGAGCAATCGAAAGTTCATTAATGGCAATAACAAACAAGTAAGGGGACATGGGACAGCCTTGTCGAATCCCTCGAAAACTTTTAAATTTACGAGAAGGCTGCCCATTAATAAGAACAGAAAAAGTGAGAGAAGAGATGCATGCATGCACTAAGTTAATGAAATGAGCATGCAGCCCTTTACGAGTAAGCGCAAGAACAATGAAGTCCCACTCAAGTCTATCAAAAGCTTTAGCAAGATCAATTTTTAACATGAAGGCATCATGTTTCCAAGATTTGAGAGAGAAAGAGTGAGCTATCTCTTGAGCAATTATAATATTACCATTAATTCTTCTACCCTCAATGAAAGCCTGTTGGGCAGGATCTATATAATCAGGAAGGTGAGGTTTAATCTTGTTAGCAAGAGATTTAGCAATGATCTTATAAACAACATTACAAAGACTAATAGGCCTGTAATCCATAGGCACTTGAGGAACAAGTTTTTTAGGAATGAGAACAATGTTGGTGTTATTAATATGAGGAGGAAGAACTCCAGAAAGATAAAAATTAACAACAAGCTGAGTTACCTCGTCTCCAATCCAGTCCAAGTAGCTAAATAGAACTCAACATTAAAACCATCCGGACCTGGAGAAGCATTAGGTTTCATATCCTTCAGAATCTGCAAAATCTCATGATTGTCAGGCAGAGCATAGGTGGGATCCAAAGAGCCACTGGGCCATTGTGTTGAAAGGTAAGGATTACCCACATTATCATTCGGGGAAGAGAAAATGTAGCGAAAGTATTTAACAAAGGTATTCGTGATAGCAGCAGGATTGAAATGAATCATATTATTCTCATCCTTAACAGAGCAAATGGTATTTCTCTTCCTACGATTAACAACAGCTTGGTGAAAAAAATTAGTATTACGGTCACCAGCAACAGCCCATTTGTTCTTACTACGTTGCTTATAGAACTGATTAAGTTTAGAAAGAGTGAACTCATACCTATTAGTGAGAGAAGTTTCCAAATTATGGTCCTGTTGTTGTAAAGGAAGTTGCTGCAGTTGATTGATACAAGCTTCCAAGTCCAAAAGATCATTCTGAAAAGGCTTCTTCTTCTTGCACCACATTTTCAAAGACCCTGCCAAAGAAGAGGATTTTGCTGCAAAAGAATGTGAGGGACTAGCATTCCAGGCAGATTTAGCAAAGGCATGAAAATCTTTCTCCATCGACCACCAATTTTCAAATTTGAAAGTTTGCCGAGGCTTGACAAAATTACCTTCAGTAGACACCAGGGGGCATGATCACTCAAAATAATAGGCAGATTAAGAACCTTGGTATTAGGGTAATGCATGCACCACTCAGAATTAACTAAACAACGGTCAAGGCGTCTATAAATAGGTTTAGAAGTGTGTTGTCTACCGCGCCAAGTATAGGCTGGACCACAATAACCAATATCAAACAAACCACAATTTTTGACAAGGGAACGGAAAGCATGCATACGATAGTAATTCACATAGCCATTACAACCATCAATATCATACAGGATGTCATTCAAGTCCCCCAAACACATCATGGGGATACCCAGATTATCATACACAAAAGTAGAAACTTGATCCCAGATGGCACTAGTTTGCCTATGGTACGGGTCACCATATATACAAATCAAACAAAAGTTGACCCCCGAAGCTACATGAACTACTTTAGCTAATATGTAGTGGAAAGCAGCACTATGAACAGAGACTTTAAGATCATCGGTCCACATCAGCCAAAGCCCTCCCGAAGCACCTCTAGAAGGAACAACAAAACCATTAGCAACATTAAACCTATTAACCAAACCAACAGAACAAACTTTGGAGGATTTGATTTCAGAAACAAACGTTACCTGAGATTTCGCGGACCGCATCAAATTAGCCAAGTAAAGCATACGGTCATTGCCGAGGCCCCGACCCATACCTCGGCAATTCCAAGCAATGGCTCTCGTGGCGCCCGAGGCGCGTTAGGGCCATGCGCCGCTGCCCAAGAAGAGGAGTGAGCCAAGTCTGCAATCTGTTGACCACGAAAGTCCACTTCATCCGCGGTTTGACTGCCCCTGAGATCCACTGTGCCGCCATGACGAGAGGAACTAAGGTTATCCTGAGCTTCCATCATGGTTTGAGCTCCAGCTCCAGACAAGTCAACCCTGTTGTTAAAATGATCCACTTGAGGAGGAGAGAAAGCCCCTTGACGGGAATTGTCTGAATCTGCAGAAATAGATCCTGTAGGAGTTCGAATTGGCCATGGGTCATAGCAAGCAGCTGCCTCATTGCTCCGTTGTTCAACCATTCCACTCCGACTAATAGAGGTCCCGAGATTCGTGATTGTCATAACCTTACTGCTGCTTCCACACATAGCAGCGATGTAACCCATTTGAGAGGTGCCATCAGAACGGTGCCAAGTGGAATGACTAATACGATGGCGAGAAATCCCACTGAAATGGGGACGCATACCCGTACACTTCCCAGATGGAGGAACGTCCAAAACGACAGCTGGCTCCCTTATCTGCTGTATGTTTGGGTGTAGCAAGGGCAACCGTGGCAGCTCCCAAAGTACCAGCTTGAGCTGCTGGGCCGTGGTCAAGAACATCGGCAGGCGGAGCTCCGAGAATGCCCAATCCAGTATGAGTCTGCCTCTTGGGACGAGACACGACTCCGATCGGACCCGCATCAGCCGCGAAACCCTTCTGCGCTTCTGCACCTTCTCCATCACCAGGCACCCCGAGCCGCTTTGGCGGTGGGAGAGCCAAACCAGAGAGCGATTCTGACGGCCTTTTGGGACTGAATCTAGGAGAGGCCAGCGAAAGGCGGTGGGAATCTGATGGAGGAGACTTATGGGGAGAAAGAGGAATGAAAGACTCTTTCTCACTACGAATTTTGTCCTTCATAGCAGCTGAAATTGCAGTAGCAGTAGAAGTCTGAATGATGTGAGCAGTAGAGTGTGTGGGTAGACTGGGCAAATGTGGGAGAGAAATAGGATTTGTAGGTGCATTCTGGCGGAAGGCATCTGGGATTGAAGACGAGGGGATTATAGAAGGGGACTGAGCAAAAGAAGTAGACTGTCCCTTATGCATCTGACTAGGTTGAATATTGTGCTGATGCAAATCTGGGCCATAACATTGCTTAAGAATGTTTACTTGAACATGAGGTGTGTATGGAAGATCTAAAAGAGACTGAGTTAATGGGACGTGGTTCAGCGGCCGCCAAGAGAACGCACGTTTCCAAGTCTCCGAGTTCGACACGTACACTGCAATAATGCAATGGGACGTGGCACGTAGAACCGATGCCGACACCAGGTGCTTTCAACTTGTCTTAACCAACGGATGTCACGGAAACATATCAGTGGTTAGTTAGCAAAAAAGAGAATGTAAACACACAAGAACTCGACTAGAAGTATCAAGAATGTAAACACACACAAAAATATTCTGAAACGCATGCATGCATGCAAAGTCTAGCTACCAGTAAATGCACGCGTGCAAGATCTTGGATAATCTCGCATGGACTTTGAACGAGAATCATCTGTGACTCAGTGATTGTGATCGATAACGTAGACAATTGGAACTAGTTCGTTAAGCAACATTGACCACGCTTGGATTGATCCTCACTGATCGGGATAACATTTGAACACGCATGCATTGGTTGGACAATCTACGTGCATATATACAACCCACGTACGTCCCTTCATTCACAGCAAGCATCCTACCAAAGTGTAAGCTGAGCTGCCCAACTGACGCAACACCGGCCGAAATGTGGCAGTCCAAGCCAGTCATGGTGCTCCTCCTGCTGGCCGTCTCCACGGCGGCGACCGTCGGCAAGCCGCTGCTCACGAAGGTCACCAAGGGCGGCGCGTCCACGGCCCTCTACACCGCGCACTCAGCGCCGGCCGGCCGCTCGTCCTCGACCTCTCCGCCCCAGCCATCACGACGCCGTGCAGCGGGCAGACGACGACCGTGACGCTCTCCGCCAACTCCACCGACGGCATCAACCCGCTGTCCCCGGTCTCCTTCGCCGCCACCGCCACCTGCGCCGCGGCCCCCTCCGGCGCCGTCGGGGTCGCCGGGCTCGCGCGCTCCAGCGTCTCGTTTCCGGCCCAGGTCGCGAGCACACAGAAGGTGGCCAACTCGTTCGCCCTCTGCCTCCCGAGCGGCGGCGTGGGCGCGGCCATCTTCGGCAGCGGCCCGTTCTTCCTCGCGCCCCCGGCGGACCGGCCGGCCATCACGACGCTCCTCTCCGACGGCGTCCCGCTCCGCCAGCCCTTCTCCGGGAACCCCGGCTACTTCGTGACCGCCACCAACGGCATCGCCATCGGCGGGACGCGCGTGGCCGTGTCCGGCTCCGGCGCGCTCGTGGTCGGCCTCTCCACCACGATCCCCTACGCACAGCTCCGCAGCGACGTGTACCGTCCCTTCATCACGGCCTTCGACCGCGCCATGGGCTCGAGCGCGAAGGTCGCGGCCGTGGCGCCGTTCGAGCTGTGCTACGACTCGTCCAAGCTGTCGCCGACGCTGTCGGGCTACTCCGTGCCCCAGGTGGACGTGATGCTGGAGGGCGGGACGAACTGGACGGTGGTGGGCGGCAACTCCATGGCGCAGGTGAACAGCGCCACGGCGTGCTTCGCGTTCGTCCAGGCGGGAGGCGGCACCGGCGGGGCGCCGGCGGTGGTGATCGGAGGGTTCCAGATGGAGAACAAGCTGGTGGTGCTCGACAACGACAAGAAGACGCTCAGCTTCACCCCGTACCTCCCAGCCAGGGGGTTCTCCTGCAGCAACTTCAACTTCACCAGGGCGGGGTAGTGATCCAAAGTTCCACATCGGTCTCCCATCGGTTCATGGTTCAACCGTGTGCGTGCGTGTAAGAACTTCCATGATATGTTAATAACTTGGAGTGTTGAAATAAAATGAATAAAATCAATCGAATATTAATTAATCACTTCGATACCACGCTGGACCAGAAGGGTTAGTTTTTGTTTTTTTGAAAAATACATTCTGTCCATCATCATGAGCGTGACTGACTGACACTGACCGATATCTCTTCAAAATGAGTTGAAGTCGCCCGTATATTAGCTTACGGTATGTTTGGCAAACCGGGCACGACGACACGGTAATTAGTTAGGCTGACAAGACACTGACGCCACCGCCTGATCCGGCCGGACTTGAGCTTCACCCGGCTGCGGGAGGCCGGGCCGTGCCATGGACTGGCCGGGCCCCGGGCCAGAAGGCCCCGACAAGGCCGCATGCAGGTACTGACTCCTTCTTTAGCCACTCGGATCTACACCGTCGGCGGTTCGCGGCAGATGCACGAACGGCCAGAAGCCGGGCTCGGTGCTGGCCTAAAGGCACGTAGGCGCACCGTTGTCACTCATTAAGTACGATCACTGTCCAAGGAAGGTCTTGCACCGCGTGTCTATAACGCCGAAACATGTTGGATGGGTGTTCATCAAGTGCTCAAACGATGTGGTGTGTGCTACTTTAGCTTCGGTTGTGCTCTTGGATTTGACTAGTTGTACTAACTTAAATTTTCATTGTGTAGAATGGATGCAACTTTTGGTATTGGGAATAAGAATATATCGATATATTGATAGAGCGTAATTTAGTAGATATTCGTGCACTTTTAGCTAGAATAGATGCTAGAGATGAGACTAGTGCACTTCTTGCTAGAATAGAGGCTAGAGATCAAACTAGATGCAAGGAAGCAACGTCTACTTCTTTAGACCCGAAGAGGAAAGAAGCACGCAAGGTCGAATCTCCGCAGATCAACAATGAATGCATCGAGAAGGCACTAGTCCAACTTACGGAGCAGTTATGAAAGTTGGTTATTTTCTAAAATGTCTTCTTGTGGTTGTTGTGTTTTTTGGTCTTGCTATTCTAGTCAAAATTTGGTGATATGCTTCCATGTATCAAAAATCAATGTTGAAAATAAAAGATATGTGTTTGCGAAAAAAATGTATGCGGACAAGACGCGGCTGAAATGCGGCTGGGTGCACGACCGCCGCATCCACGAATCCGGACGGACACAGCCTCATTACCATCCTAAACGGACGAAAAGCGAATGAAACTAACATTCGTTTAGGGTCACGAGTTGGAGTTGGCCTGATATCTTCTCCGGGCGATGCTGAAATGGGAAGAATCGCGCGCTAGTCTCATGTTCAAACTCGGAAAGTCAAATCATTTGAATGCAGCACGTGAGTGCGTACGCCCTTGTTTGGCGATGTTTACCAATGGTGGTTTCGGCCATTCCATCGCATATGGCTACTCAGCAGTCACCGAAGGCGCCTATGGCTCGCAATCTTGTTGTAAACTCTGTAAACAGACCAAAACAGGTGGAGCTCAATGTGCTCCAGTGTCTGTTTTTTTTTCAAGCAACCGGCAGGAGCTCTGCCTTTTCATATAGAAGAAGAGAAATGACCAGTTAATAAGGAAAACTGGCCGAAAACCGATACATGTGTGGCACACGCACACCAGCCGACGACTTCGTCACCCAAGCGACCAAAATCGACACCCAACAACACGAACCGGAGCCGCCGCTCCGACATACAAACCTCAACAGCGCACACACCGGCCCCGAGGCCGCGTCCCAAACGAGTCGACGACTCTGTCACCCCGGTGACCAGAAACGACACCCTGCAAACGAAAGACGCTCTCCGGAGCCGCCACTCCGACTTCCACTCCGACCCCAAGGCCGCGAATCCAACGAGCCAACGACTCTGCCACCCAAATGACCAGATTCAACGCTCCACAACGCAACTATCCGGAGCCGCCGCCCCGGCCTCCACACCGGCCCCGAGGCCGCGAACCCGCCTGGCCGATGGCGAAGATGTCGGGCGATGCCAACCATCGACGCAGGGAAGATTGGACCTCCAAGGCGACGCCCCCAAGAAGGATGCGACGTGAACGCCGCCGCCGCCTGCTTCAGCCCAAGCCGAAGCATAGGTTTTCACCCGGAGAGCATTGTATCCAAATGCCTAAAGGAGGTGAAGGGGCTCCACGACGACTCCTCCAACGAGGGGAACGACATCCTAGGACGCCGTCATCGCCGGCAATGACCAAGGTCACTGCAAGGCATTCACCTGGAGTTCACCATGCCCAGAGACACTGCATCAAGGCCGTCCATCTGACTGAACCAAGAAAGTCGCATGCCCCAAGCAAATCGCCGCCGCCAACCACCACCACCACCACACGCTACTCAACGGAGCCACCACCACGAGACCGCCTCACCCGCGCAGCCAGGGTCAGGGAGCACGGTCCACCGCCACCACCTCCACTGCACTGGCGCACAGATCCGGCCCTCACGGTCCAGATCCAGACCTGCAGCGCAGCCACACGCTGCAACCCCAAACTGCCAAAGCAGACCGCCGCAACCCTCCAAAACACGCATTCGAGCAGCCCCGACGCGGATCCGGGCGCGAGCCCCATGGATCTGGGCAGGACACGAGCAGTCGTAGCCACCGCCGAGCGGCGGCGCATCCAGCCGCTGCGGCGCCGACCCCGACCGAGGACGGCCAGATCCGCCCCTTGCCGCGACGCCGCTGCCTCCCCAAGCAGTGCCACCAACGGCTGCTCGACTCCGAGCAGGACACACCGAAGACCGCCGTGACGAGATCCCCTGCTCGCGCGCGCCCGCCAGCCAGCGAAAGAACATGTCCCGCCGCCGCCGGCTCCGCACGGGCTTCGCCCGGCGGAGGACACCAGCGACGGCGAGGGAGGGAAGGGATGAGGGGAGAGAGCTGGTGGTACGGCTGTGGTCGCCGCCCGTGTCGCTCCTGGGGAGGGAGCGACCAGTGTCTATTCTTTTCGGCATAAGGAAAATGTAGCTTCTTTATTTCAGTGTCAAGGGGAAATGTGCCTTCTTTTTTTTAAGTTAATAAGTGGCAAACTTTAAGATAAGAAACACCGCATCCGGAAGAAATGGGCTTGTGGGTCTCAGTGCATCGGACATCATCGTCTTGCGAAACTTGCATTAGTGTTCCAGAGACATCATCGTCTTTTTATTCTTGAAGTCTGCAAGCTCAAAATAACCACATGTCAAATCATAGATGATTCAAAATGTTCAAATACAAAAGTAGTTCCAATTTAAATATTATTTTTCAATAAAGTTTTTAGATTAAAATAGTTCAAACTTGAATTCAACTAGCACATATGCTGTAGTTGTCCTCTTTAACCGTTCATATATGCTCAATCAATTCTTCCTTGAGTTGTTCATGAGTTGCTCGATGCCGAATTTGTTGATGCATTTGACCAAATTCATCAAACGTAGCAGGATTCTGATATGGCAGTTGGATAGGATCTTCCATGTTCTCAAATTCAAGAGTTGTGGCAGCATCTTCACCTTCATCCTCCATGATCATATTGTGCATGATCACACAACATGTCATCACCTCCCACAAGGTCTCTGAATCCCATTATTAAGTAGTTCCTTGAACAGCTACAAAACGGGTCTGTAGCACTCCAAATGCCCTCTCCATATCCTTTCTAGATCCTTCTTGTCTTTGGGAAAAGTTAGATGTCTTTGGGAAAAGTTAGACCATGTCAGGCCAACTGGCTCAGAGATGGTCTTGACAAAGGTAACCCATGGAGGATATATGTTGCCAACTAGATAGTAGCTCATGTTGTATTCATGCTCATTGATGGTATAGTTGCAAGGAGGAGTTTTCCCCTCAGCCAGCCTACCAAACAATGGAGAACGCTGCAGGACATTATTGTCATTGTGAGACCGGGGCATTGCCAATGAAAGCATGCCAAATCCAGAGATCACGTGATGCAACTTCCTCAAGAATGATGGTGACCTTCTTCACATGGCTCTGATATTGCCCTTGTAGAGCTTTTGGATAGTTCTAGCATCTCCAGTGCATGCAGTCAAGAGATTCGAGCAAACCTAACCAGCCTCTTGCTTCGAACATTGCCAAGAGCCTCTCAGTGTGTGCGGCGATTGGTTCTCTCAAGTACCGAGGTCCAAACACCTCGACCACGGTAGTAGAAAATCTGACCGTGGCGTCTCCGCATGTGCTCTCACACATCCGAAGGTGTTCATCCCATGAATCTGCGGCCATGCCATATGCAAGCATCCGCAATATGGTCGTACACTTCTGGTAACCAGAGAATCCAATCCTCCTATGACATCCTTCTGAAAGATGAAGCAGTCATCAAAGGACCAGATGCCATGATAGAGGCAATAAAAGATATTTTTTCGCATCTGAAAGCGCCGGCGAAAATTGTCAGCAAAGAGGGCATTGGGAGCAATGTAGTTGTCCATCAGTGTCTACTGCCCCCTGAACTATTCCAATTGAGCACTCGATAGCCTTGATCGATATCTTGGAATTTAGAACATGCTCGTTCGCACGCTCCGCATCTGCAAGGCCAGCCTGCATCATCGTTGTTTCATCCATGTAGTCCTCCTCATCAGATGACTCAACACAGATCTGTATAAATCCAGACTCCTCTGTGCAGTCCCCCTTGCGGGGCCCTTTTCTCCTAGCTCCGGAGTCTGATGAAGCTATATACCCAGGGTAGGGTCATGGACCTGTCCAAGATACCCTCCCCAAGGATATATCTAGAAGAAATCACCTTTCAATCGACCCGAAAACGTTCCACTCGACGGACTCAAAGACACTCGACCATGAAGCCATCCACTCGACAGCAAGGAGACCTAAAGTCACTCTGCACGCAAACGTCGGTCATTAAGTAGCTTTTATGGTCATCATAGCACTTTATTTGTAGCGTTACCAGTAACGCCCGATCTTATTGTATCTTAAACCCTGCATAACTGAGGGCCGGAGGGGTCTGGCGGACTCTATATA